GGGAGGTGTGTCTGGGGGGTGAGGGGTGGGGGGGGGGGGGCGTGTATGGAGTAAGGATAGGGGGAGAAGCTAGTGGAGTGGTAAGAAAGGTGGAGGGAGGAGGATTGAGCTCCATTAGGGGGCAAAACCTTGTTAGAGGCTGCTGGGTGGAGTTTTGGTGTTAGGAAAAATAAAGTTGATTTGAACTCCTAAGAAGTAGTGTAAATTGAATTTGACCTTGTGAACGATCCCTGTACAGAAGAGCTCACAGTGGTAGGGGGAGAAGTAGCACAGGGAGTCAACCAATTCATGTGCTAACAAGGTACATGATGATAGGAGGAGACAGCAAAGTCGCAGAGAGGTGAGCTCTTCTTCACTATGCAATCACAGGCTGGGAACTGGGAGGAGATCTGTAAGTATAAGTTACTGTAGTAGAGGAAAACAAACATGGCTGTGTGGTGTAGCAGAGGTGTGAAAATCTCAGAACTGGTTGAACAGAAATACCAATACTTTAGCAGGTGAAGCAGCTGTTTCCTGTGTGTGTGTTTTGGACAGGTTGCCCTGAAGTTCAGCTTTACACCTAAAAAAAAAAACACCTAACCATTTTCTAGAAAGACATGGAGGGTAATTGACCAAAACCGGGGCAGACAGAATCTGGAGCAGGTGCCCATGACAATCAATTCTTTTTCAAATCTTAATCAAACAAACTGAAGAGAGAAGCTGATTGGTTGCCATGGACAACTGCTCCAGATTCTGTCTGCTCCAGTTTTGATAAATTCCCCTTACGATGCTTACTTTACAAGTAGTTTCTGGTTGTTTGAGAGTTAGTGATAACTCTCAAGTAGCCCCCCTATCCCCTGCGTCACCCCGATTCCCCCCACAGACACATTCACCTGCCGGCTAGCTTCCGCAGCCAACAGGTGAATGTAAGCAGCCAGGAGCAATAACCAGACTGCTATTGGCTATTTCAAATTGCAATAGCAGCCTGGCTATTGAAGCCCTGCCCACTGAGCAGAGGAACGGCCCTGAAAAAATTCTCTCTCAGGTCCATTTCTCTGCCCAGTGGACGGGCATAATAGCCAGCCTACTATTGGCTATTGCAATTTAAAATAGCCAATAGCAGGCTGGCTATTTCCCCCCATTGTTTACATTCTGCGGCAGCAAGATGTAGATAAAGATTTTAGTTAGCAACAAAATAAATGTAGTTTCTAATGAGATTTGTTAGCGTGCACCAAGCAACCCACAATTTTTTTATGTGCATATTGTGTCCTCTATCTATTTTGTTGGTGGCTTGCGACTGTCGGTTGCTTAAATGGAGTTTAATGGGGAGTTTACTGTAGAATTTTTTTTTTCAACTTTGACTGCAAAAGTGGAACTGCGCTTTAAATGACAGTGATTGATGCGACAACATTTGAATTTTTTGTGAAATTCACACCCACTGCTTTATAAATGTGCCTCTTAGTGTCACTTTTTTACTTCTGCCCGTTTTGTTTCCCTGGCAGAACGTATGTGAGTTACCATGCTGATGACAAGTAAGTGGGCACGGATTACACGGCTGGAAAACAGAGATCTCTGATTTGGTGAGACAGCCTACAGTGTACTAAAAACAGATGGCTCCCAACTGCTTTTCATTATCTCAGCATCAGTTTAAAAACAGTTCTGCTTAGCGTTATATTCTGCGGGAATGTCATAAATATTAAGGATGATATTGTGACAGGAAGGTCCCTTGAGAAAGCCAAGTAATTGCGTTCTGCTGGTGTGAAATGCCGCAGACCATACATGACACAGGAAAAGGCATGGAACACTGTAAAGGGCCTTGATGATACTGGGAAAGAACATTTCCTTTAAAACTAAAGGTAGCATGTATTAAAACCTTGTTTATGAACAGAGAGTGGAAATGTAAGAATGACGTTTTAGGCTAAAGGCTTGTGTTAATAGATGTTAAAAGTAACGCTATAGCAAAAAATATTGTATTCTGTAGGTAGGGTTGCCACCTGTCCAGGATTCACCTGGACAGTTCTGGTTTTGAATGCTGTGTTCGGGTTTCATGGCACCAGAAACCCGGACACAAGGTGTCAGGTAGACAGGGGCAACCAAAATTAAGATAGGGGCTACTGCCCCCCCACTAAAAATAGTCTCAACTGTCATATTTACATATTAATGGGTGGTTCCTTTTCCATATGAATAAGCTGCGACTCATTCTCCCAAAAAAATATGTCCACGTGTCGCTAGAGTGTTCGGGTTACGCTTGAAGAAAAGGTGGCAACCCTATCTGTAGGTGATTAATAGTGGTGATGATTATATTTATTATATTGCTTCCTTATTTATTTCACATAACTTTATTTATATTTACTACACATTTACAAGCAGACCAAGCTGTCCAACAAAAATGATTGGGCTGGCACAAGCTATAACATTGCCAGGGGTGCCTACAATAGCCACCTTCAATGTGGTTTAAACCTTTTTTCTGTAAAAATGAACATTGAAAACTGTTGCTGTCACTGCCCAAAAAGTGTCAGCTGCAGTTGGGATTTAATTTGTTTGTTTCTTATTTAAATCCTCTGAGGGCCCATTCACACCAGCAGCTACGCAACCTGGCACATTGCTGATGTGCTGATTGTGACGCATGGCATTGTTTACCTTTTTTATTGTTAGAACTTGATTGAAATTATATTGTTAGAACTTGATTGAAATGCCACAAGTAACATTTCATTAAGTTCTATGGGCACAGCACAGGGCAATGTGGCTGTGCCACATCATATTGCGCTGCACTAAAAAAAGTACTGCATGCTGTACTTTTTTTCATGACACATAACCGCAATGTGGTGGTGTGAACTGAACCCATCGGAAACAAGACAAATTACCCTGTCTTGCACTGGGGCTGCACTGAAGAAAAAAACATCCAGTCAGTCCCAACGTTTTCTGGTGTGAATGGGCCCTAAATCTACATGTCCATGTTAAATCCCATCTCTGGGCACACATAAAAATGACCCTTGCAGTGGGGCTACTCTCCTACTACAAGGGTTAAGTGCTAGATTTTTTCTAGGGGCTCAAGAAAAGCATATTTACTTACTTGACCCAGCGGTCAGCGCTCTTCTCTCCTTCTGCTTAGCTAGTGGAATGCCCTTATAGCTAATGCAGTTCTATGGAACCTGGCTGCATTAAATGTGTTGATGTCAGTGGCCCTTAAACTGCCGGAGCCCAGGAGAGAAGGCTGCGGAGACCCGTCTAAAAGCACTGTAGGAGCCCATGGAAGCGTGGATCAGGTACAGGTACAGTAAGTAAATCTGCTTTACTCCAGCCCCTAGACAAAAATGACCACTTAACCCTTGCAGTGCAGGGGTAGCTTGGAGATGAGCTTTAAGCTACCCTGACCACAGGGTGACAATGCTGCTGCACTATTTTATTGCAGACAAACAGAGCTGTCATCCTGTTACCGGTAATGCAAAACCAAGATGTCTTCTAGCAGGAACAAAAATTACTGCATTAATGCATTTAAAACCTACAGCAAATATGTTGTTTTTGCTTTTGTCTGTAGTTCTACTTTGAGAGGCTGTCCAAATCCGACTAGGGTTAGGAGGCACTTAGGTAGAGAGACCCACACACACACACACACACACACACACACACACAGCTGCTAACTCATTGAACCCTTAGGTTGCTCCCCTCTGTGTACATGCCTGAAGAAGCATTTGAAGGGGAACATATCATGTTTTTTTCAAAATATATCAATTCAGTCTCACAGTACAAAACAAACATATTGCGCTATTCTTTTTAATGTTGCAAATAGTTTTGAATCATTGTCAATAAAACCCAGAATCACAAGGATGCAGTGCTAGGGATTATTGTCTTGCAATGTGCCAAATGACATACGATAAATCCTGTAATTGCTGACCAGAGCTGTTAAGAATATATACAGCTCCACACCATACGTCAGTAATCGGCACTTCCTTTGCATCCTTTGAAGCATCAACCATTACACAATTTTGTCCATGCGTTATCATTTTAAGGCTCTGTAACAATTCAGATTAAATTGTTTGAATGACTGTCTGCGGAGGAGATCACACAGGTCACATAATAGAGTGCTCAAACTGCCTGCATTCCACTAGGAAGACAATTTGTCCCTAGACTTAGGGGCCATTAAAAAAGCAGCAGTGTGGCTGTACCTCTACTTAAAAAACAAAAAATGCACAGTGCTCCACTGGCTTTGAGAGTCAAATCCATCAGGGTGCAAGTGAAGTGAATTGAAGTTGGTAAAAAGATTAGCTGGGAATAAAGCCAGTCATGGTCACATTACCTTTTCTCAGTCACAGAGCCCTCTATGTCATAGGGCAACACAGGCTTCACGCTGTGGTCTGCATTTCATGAATAAGAGGTAAATTGTGGGATATATATATAT